TCCGGCGCCCGACCGCGAGCCGGCGGGCGCCGCGCCGGGCGCCGCCGAGGCCGTCACCATCACGGAGCTCGCCGTCGACGGCGTGGCGCTGGCGAGCACCGACGGCGACCAGCGCCAATGCGGCGCGCCCTACGGCTGCGACGCGCAGCTGTCCTGCGCGGCCTGGCTCGGCGAGGACGACGCGTAGCAGCGCGCCCTCATCATCCTCGTCATCGCCGTCGTTGTCGTCGTCCCGGCTCGCCCCCGCATCTCGACCTAACTTTCGTTCGATTCGTGGTGGAACAACCTTCGAGTTGTTGCATTGATGTCAACATCACTGCATCTCTCCCCTCGCGGTAGCATGTGCGACAATAGCTCTTGCAAGCGCCGTCGGGCCATGCGCGCCGCCGCGCTGCTGTGGTGGTGCTGCGTCCCGGCGACGGGCCTCGTCGCCGGGCGGCGGCCGCCGCCGCGGCGCGCCGTGCGCCGCGCGGCGGCGGCGGAGCGCCTGACCTTCACGTTCGCGGACGTGAACCCGCGCGCGCCGACGGGCCTCGGCGTCGCCGGCGCCCCCAACGCCACGACCCCCTGGCGCGCGGAGCTCTACCCGACGGGCTTCTCGCGCGCCGCCGGCGAGCGCGACCGGTGCTCGCTCTTCCTGCGGCGCGGCGACGGCCGGGCCGTGGACGCGACCTTCACGGCGCGCCTCGTGGGCGACGGCGTCGCCGTCGAGTCCGAGGGCGGCGGCGGCCGCTTCGCGAGCGCGCGCGCGGCCCCCGGCGGCGGCGAGCGGCGCGAGTTCGGGCTGCCGCTCGTCGTTCCGGCGCTCCTCGCGAAATTCCTCGACGCCGAGGGCGCCGCGACCTGCGAGGTCGACATCACCGTCTTCGAGCGGGACCGCGGGGCGGCGCCGCCGCGGGGCGCGTGGCGCCGCGGCGACGCGCGCGCCGCGGGCCTCGCCGTCGGCGACCGCTTCGTGCCGGTCTGGACGAACCTGGACGAGCGGCGGCGGCTCGGCGAGCTCGGCTGCTACGGCGGCGTCGACTTCGTCGTCGCGGGCGTCACGCTCGACGGCGCGGCCCGCTTCGACGTCGCGCCGGGCGCCGAGCTGCGTGGGAAATCAAATATTCAACCCGACTTCGATGTGCGCGTATGCGACCGTTTCGACGCGAGGCTTTCTGCTGTGCTTCGAGAACTCGATGAAAGCAATCGATTCGTCCAAAAATCAGCCGAATCGACTTCGATGTGACCGAGTTAGAGAGTTCTGAAGTTTGGTTGGGATAACCCAGCTCACTGTTTGATTTCCACACAGGCTCCGAGCTCGCGGTCCGGCCGCTCTACCCGCTCGTACCGCGCCTCGAGCGGCCCTGGCCCGCGACGCTGCCCGAGGCCGCCGTGCCCCTCGCCCTGGCGCCGGCGTCCTACACGGCGCTCACCGCGGCGTCGGCCGTCGGCGGCGCGCTCGCGATCCTCGGCTCCGCGGCGCTCGCGGCGGCGGTCTTCGTGTCGCTCAGCGTCGTGCCGACGCGGTCCATGGAGCCCGGCATCGCGCCGGGGGACGTCCTCCTCGTGGAGAAGACGTCGGCGCTCCTGCGCCGGCCGCCGAAGGCCGGCGAGGTCGTGCTCTTCGCGCCGCCGCCGCCGCTGCGCGCGATCGCGAAGATCGCCGACGACCGCGCGCTCTACGTGAAGCGCGTCGCGGCCGTCGCCGGCGACGTCGTCGCCGTCGACGCCGACGGCGGCGTCGCCGTCAATGGCGCGAGGCTGCCGCCGCGGCCCGACGCGTGCGACGAGCCCGACGCGCGCGCGGCGCTCCGGGACGTCCTCGCCCGGGCGCGGCGTGAGGGCCTCGCGCCCGAGGCGGAGTTCGCGCTCCGAAAGGGCGAGATCTTCGTCCTCGGCGACTGCGCGGACGTCTCCGTCGACTCGCGCGTCTGGGGCCCGCTCGACGCCGCCGCCGTCCGCGCGCGGCCCGTCGCCACCGTGTACCGGCGCGGGCGCTAGGGCGCCGTTTCTATGGGAAGCCACATGCCGTGTACCGGCGCTCGGGCGCCGTGTCTATCGGAAGCAAAATATATACAGGTCGGGGTGCTCCTACTCGAGGCCCGCGGACCGCCGCCGCTCCGAGTCGGTCCGCGCGAGCTTGCGCGGCGGCTCGCCGGCGCCGCGCGCCGGCGGCGGCTCGGCGTGGGCCCAGGCCGTGGTCGTGAGCACGGTGCGCGACGCGAGGCCCACGGCGACGCGGCGCGCGACCTCGTCGCCGAGGAAGCGCCGCGCGTCGTTTCCGTCGTACCAGAGCGCCGGCTTCAGCTCGTCGGGCGCGCGGTCGACGACGACGACGTCCGCGGCGTCGCGGAAGCGCACGCTCTTTTTTGGTTGTGTTGCTGATTTGCTGCCGAGCAGTTTCGCGAGGCCCTCGGCGCAGCCCGGCGCGAGCGCGTCGCCGAGGCGGCCGCAGTAGCACGCCGCGTCGACGAAGGCGTCGAAGGGCTCGAAGCCGCGCTTGTCGAGGCTCGGCTGGCGCGTGATGGCGGCGATCGCTGCCATGGCGGCGCAAGGCGACTGCGGCTGCGTGTCGGGATGCAAGGCGACTGCGGCTGCTGCGGTTGCGCGGCTGCTGCTGCTGCGCGGCTGCTGCGGTTGCGGTGCGGTTGCGGACCGAGCTACGGGAGTTTGTGCAGGGCCTGTGCAATTGCTGCGCTGCTGGAAACGCGACGGAAGCGCGACGACGTGCGAGGTTTGTCTCTCAGAAGTGGTCGCCGCAGATTCCGCGCAAAAAATCGCCGGACGGCATCATCGACGCTGCAGTGAGAAGCGCTCTCGCCGCGGCGTCGTCACGCTCACGGGCAGTGATCTGTGAGACCCCTCGGAAGCTCCCCGCGGATCCTCGCGGGCCCCCTCCGTTTCGAGACGCATCACGGGCGGCGATTTGCGCGGCGGCCCGGGCGGCGGCTTCGCGGGCTGTGATCTCCGGCATTTGAGCGCCGGGGAGGCCTCTTCGGCGCGACGCGCGTCGCCCGCCGCCCCCCCTCGACCATGGAGATCGAGTACACCGTGCCGCTCGACAAGCTCTCCGGCGGCGAGCTCCGGTCCTTGCTCGAAGCGAACGGCTTCCCCGGCGGCTCGCGGCGCCTCGGGCGGGGCGACCTCGCGGACATCGCCCGGGGCGCGGGCCTCGAGGGCCTGACGCTCCGGGGCCGCGACGCCATCGACGCCAAGGCGCGCGAGCTCCTCTCCGTCGTCGGCCGGCTCGACCGCGTCGTCGCGTTCCGCCCCGGCGCGAAGCTCGGCCTCGAGCTCAAGCAGGTCGGCGAGTGGGCCGTCGTCATGGCGGCGCCGGCGGCCGTCGAGTCCAAGGTGCGCCTGGGCGACGTGCTCGCGGCCGTCGACGGCGCCGACGTCCTCCTCGAACCCTACGACGACATGTTCCGCCGCGTCGTCGCCGCGACCCGATCGCCCGTGCCCTTCACGCTCACGTTCCGCCGCGCGCCCTTCCACCGGGGCTGGCTCTTCAAGCGCGCGCGGGCCAAGCCCGGCAGGCGGTCGCTCTTCTCCGGCGCGTCGGGCTGGAAGAAGCGCTACTTCGTGCTCGCGTACGGCGTCCTCGCGTACTACGACGCGCCGCCGCTGGACCCGCGCAAGGCGCCCCGGGGCTTCTTTTCGCTCGAGTCGTCCGAGGACCACGCGTG